CCATCTTACTCCCCTTCTTTCTCCTCTGTCATTTTGCCTTCCATCTTACTCTCCCTTCTTTCTCCCTATCTTCTCTTTTCTTCCATTAACCTCCTTCTTTCTCCCTATGTCTTTTTTGCCTTCCATCTTACTATCCTTCATTCTCCCCTCTGTCTTTTTTGCCTTCCATCTTTCCCTTCTTTCTCCCTATCTTCTTTGTCTTCCATTAACCTCCCCTTCATTCTCCTATGTCTTTTTGCTTTCCATCTTACTCACCTTCTTTCTCCTATCTTCTCTTGTTTCCATTAACCTCCTTCTTTCTCCCTATGTCTTTTTGCCTTCCATCTTACTCTCTTCTTTCTCCTCTCTGTCTTTTGCCTTCCATCTTACTCCCCTTCTTTCTCCCTATCTTCTCTTGTCTTCCATTAACCTCCCCTTCTTTCTCCCTCTGTCTTTTTGCTTTCCATCTTACTCACCTTCTTTCTCCCTATCTTCTCTTGTCTTCCATTAACCTCCCCTTCTTTCTCCCTATGTCTTTTGCCTTCCATGTTCTCTCCTTCTTTCTCCCTCTGCCTTTTGCCTTCCATCTTACTCACCTTCTTTGTCCCTATCTTCTCTTGTCTTCCATTAACCTCCCCTTCTCTCACTCTGTCTTTTGCCTTCCATCTTACTCACCTTCATTCTCCTATCTTCTCTCTCTTCCATTAACCTCCCCTCTTTCTCCCTATGTCTTTCTGCTTTCCATCTTACTCTCCTTCTTTCTCCCTCAGTCTTTTTGCCTTCCATCTTACTCCCCTTCATTCTCCGTATCTTCTCTTGTTTTCCATTAACCTCCCCTTCTTTCTCCCTCCGTCTTTTTCCTTCATCTTTCTCCCCTTCTTTCTCCCTATCTTCTCTTGTCTTCCATTAACCTTCCTTCTTTTCTCCCTATGTCTTTTTTTCTTTCTTACTCTCCTTCTTTCTCCCTCAAGTCTTTTGCCTTCCATCTTCCCATTCCTCCCTATCTTCTCTTGTCTTCCATTAACCTCCCCTTCTTTCTCCCTCTGTCTTTTTGCTTTCCATCTTACTCTCCTTCTTTCTCCTTCTGTCTTTTTGCCTTCCATCTTACTACCCTTCTTTCTCCCTATATTCTCCAGTCTTCCATTAACCTCCCCTTCTTTCTCCCTCTGTCTTTTTGCCTTCCATCTTACTCCCCTTCTTTCTCCCTATCTTCTCTTGTCTTCCATTAACCTCCCCTTCTTTCTCCCTATGTCTTTTGCCTTCCATCTTCCATTTCTCCCTATCTTCCTTGTCTTCCACCTCCCTTCTTTCTCCCTCCTTTTGCCTTCATCTCTTCTTTCTCCTCTTCTCTTGTCTTCCATTAACCTCCCTTCTTTCTCCCTATATCTTTTTGCTTTCCATCTTACCATTCTTTCTACTTCTGTCTTTTTGCCTTCCATCTTCTCCCTTCTTTCTCCCTGGCTTCTCTGTTTTCCATTAACCTCCCTTCTTTTTCTCCCTCCTGTCTTTTTTTGCTTCCATCTTACTCCTTCCCTCTCCCTATTCTCTTGTCTTCCTTAACCTCCCTTCTTTTCCTTCTTTTTTGCCTCTTGCCCTTCTTTCCCTCTTCTCTTGTTTTCCATATTCTCCTCTATCTCTTTCGCCTTCCTTACTCCTTCTTTCTCCTGTCTTCTCCTTCCTTCTTTCCCCTGTCTTTTTTGCTTTTTTTCTTTTCTCCCTCAGTCTTTTTTTGCTTCCATCTTCTTTTCTTCCCCTATCTTCTCTTGTCTTCCATTAACCTCCCCTTCTTTTCTCCTTGTCTTTTTGCCTTTCCATTCTTTTCTCACCCCTTCTTTTTCTCCCTATCTTCTCTTGTTTTCCATTAACCTCCCCTTCTTTCTCCCTTTGTCTTTTTTGCCTTCCATCTTACTCCCCTTCTTTCTCCCTATCTTCTCTTGTCTTCCATTAATCTCCCTTCTTTCTCCTATGTCTTTTTTGCTTTCCATCTTACCTCCTTCTTTTCTCCCTCAGTCTTTTTGCCTTCATCTTACTCCCTTCATTCTCCCTATCTTCTCTTGTCTTCCATTAACCTCCCCTTCTTTCTCCCTCTGTCTTTTCGCCCATCTTACTCCCTTCTTTCTCCTATCTTCTCTTGTCTTCCATCTTACTCTCCTTCTTTTTTTTTCTCCCTTGTCTTTCGCCTTCTCCCCCCTTCATTCTCTTCTCTTGTCTTCCATTAACCTCCCTTCTTTCTCCCTTGTCTTTTTGCCTTCCATCTTACTCCCCTTCATTCTCCCTTCTCTTGTCTTCCATCTCCCTTCTTTCTCCCTTGTCTTTTTCCATCTTATCTCCTTTCTTCTCTTGTCTTCCTCTAATCTTACCCTTCTTTTCCCTATGTCTTTGCTTTCCATCTTACCCCCTTCTTTCTCCTCTTCTTTTGTCTTCCATCTTACTCCCCTTCATTCTCCCATTTTCTCTTGTCTTCCATTCTCCCCTTCTTTCTCCTTGTCTTTTGCCTTCCATCTTACCCCCTTCTTTCTCCCTCTGTCTTTTCCTTCCATCTTACCTCCTTCTTTCTCCCTATCTTCTCTTGTCTTCCATCTAACCTCCCTTCTTTCTCCTCTGTCTTTTCTTTCCATCTTACTCCTTCTTTCTCCTATCTTCTCTTGTCTTCCCTCCTCCCCTCTTTTCTCCCTCAGTCTTTTTGCCTTCCATCTTACTCCCCTTCATTCTCCCTATCTTCTCTTGTCTTCCATTAACCTCCCTTCTTTCTCCCTTTGTCTTTTTGCCTTCCATCTTACTCACCTTCTCCATTTTCTTAAGTATCTTCTCTTGTCTTCATTAATCTCCCTTCTTTCTCCCTCTGTCTTTTTGCCTTCCATCTTCCCCTTCTTTCTCTTCTTTCTTGTCTTCCATTAACTGTTCTTTTCCTGTCTTTTCGCCATCTTACTCCCCCTTTCTCCCCTATCTTCTCTTGTCTTCCATTAACCTCCCTTCTTTCTCCCTGTCTTTTGCTTTCCATCTTACCCTTCTTTCTCTCTGTCTTTTTTGCCTTCCATCTAACTCCTTCTTTCCTATCTTTTGCTTTTCCATCTTACTCCTTCTTTCTCCTCTTCTTTTCCTTCCATCTCCTTCTCTCCCTCTGTCTTTTGCCTATCTTCTCTTCCCCTTCTTAACCTCCCTTCTTCTCTTGTCTTTTGCTTCTTCCCCCTTCTTTCTCCTCTGTCTTTTGCCTTCCATCTTACTCCTATTTCTTCTCTTGTCTTCCATTAACCTCCCCTTCTTTCTCCCTCTGTCTTTTGCCTTCCATCTTACTCCCTTCTTTCTCCCTATCTTCTCTTGTCTTCTTAACTTTTTGCATTAACCTCCTTCTTTCTCCTTGTCTTTTGCTTTCATCTTACTCCCTTCTTTCTCCCCTATCTTCTCTTGTCTTCCATTAACCTCCCCTCTTTCTCCTCTGTCTTTTGCATCTTTCTCTATTTCTCCCTATCTTTTTTGTCTTTTAACCTTCCTTCATTTCTCCCTTCTTTCTCCATCTTACTCTCCTTCTTTTTGTCTTCTCTTGTACCATTCCCCTTCTTTCTCCTATGTCTTTTGCTTTTCCATCTTACCCCTTCTTTCTCCCCTCTTCTTTGTCTTCCATCTTACCCTTCTTTCTCCTCTTCTCTTGCCTTCCATTCTGCCCTTCTTTCCCTCATCTTTTTCCCATCTTACTCCCCTCCTTTCTCTATCTTCTTGTCTTTACATTACCTCCCTTCTTTCTCCCTATGTCTTTTTGCTTTCCATCTTACTCTCTTCATCCCTCCCCTTCTTTCTCCCCTTCTTTCTCTTGTCTTCCATTAACCTCCCCTTCTTTCTCCCTATGTCTTTTTGCTCCATCTTCCCTTCTTTCTCCCTATCTTCTCTGTCTTCAGTTAACCTCCCTTCTTTCTCCCTCCCTGTCTTTTTCCATCTTTTCCATCTTTCCCTATCTTCTCCTTCTTTCTCCCCCCTTCATCTTCTCTTCTTTCTTCCATTAACTTCCCTTCTTTCTCCTATCTTCTCTTGTCTTCATCTTACTCTCCTTCTTTCTCCCCTGCTTCTTGTCTTTTTGCTTCACCCCCCTTCTTTTCTCCCTCTGTCTTTTTGCCTTCCATCTTACTCCCCTTCTTTCTCCCTATCTTCTCTTGTCTTCCATTAACCTCCCCTTCTTTCTCCCTCTGTCTTTTTGCCTTCCATCTTACTCCCTTCTTTCTCCCTATCTTCTCTTGTCTTCCATTAACCTCCCCTTCTTTCTCCTTTTGCTCCATCTTACTCTCTTCTTTCTTCCCCTTCATTCCCCATCTTACTTCCTTAACCTGCCCTTCTTTCTCCCTCTGTCTTTTTGCCTTCCATCTTACTCACCTTCTTTCTCTTCTTCTCTTGTCTTCCATTAACCCCCCTTCTTTCTCCCTATGTCTTTTTGCTTCCATCTTACTCCCCTTTTCTCCCTCCTCTTGTCTTTTCTTGTCTTCCCCTTCTTTTCCCTTCCATCTTCTCCTCCCTTCTTTCTCCTTTGTCTTTCTTGTTTTGTCTTACTCCCCTTCTTTCTCCCTCTTCTTTTGCCTTCATTTACTCCTTCTTTCTCCCTATCTCTTTTTGCTCCATCTTACCTCCTTCTTTTCCCTATGTCTCTTTTTTGCTTTTACATCTTCTTTCTCCCTATATTCTCCTGTCCTTCTTTTTCTCCCTCTGTCTTTTTTCATCACCTCCCCTTCTTTCTCCTATCTTCTCTTGTCTTTACATTAACCTCCTTCTTTCCCTCCCTGTCTTTTGCCTTCCATCTTACTCCCCTTCTTTCTCCCTATCTTCTCTTGTTTTCCATTCGCTCCCTTCTTTTCTCCCTCTGTCTTTTTTGCTCATCTTATTTCCCCTTCTTTCTCCCCTCTTCTCTTGTCTTCCCATTCTCCCCTTCTTTCTCCTTGTCTTTTTGCTTTTCCAACCTCCCCTTCTTTCTCCCTCTGTCTTTTGCCTTCCATCTTACTCTCCCTTCATTCTCCCTATCTTCTCTTGTCTTCCATTAACCTCCTTCTTTTCTCCCTATGTCTTTTGCTTTCCATCTTACTCTCCTTCTTTCTCCCTCTGTCTTTTTGCCTTCATCTTACTCCTTCTTTCTCCCCTATATCTTCTCTTGTCTTCCATTAACCTCCTTCTTTCTCCCTCTGTCTTTTCCATCTTCTCCTTCTTTCTCCCTATCTTCTCTCCTTTCCTCCCTTTCTTTTCTCCCTGTCTTTTTGTCTTTTCTATCTCCTTCTCTTCCATTCTCCTTCCCTTCCATTTCTTCTTTCTCTATCTCTTTTTCGCTTCCATCCATCTTTCTTTCTCCCTTCTTTCTTGTCCCATCTAACCTCCCTTCTTTCTCCCTCTCTTTTTGCCTTCCATCTAACCCTTCTTTCTCCTATCTTCTCTTGTCTTCCATTAACCTCCCTTCTTTCTCCCTCTGTCTTTTTTACTTTCCATCTTACTCCTCCTTTTCTCCTTCTTCTCTCTTGTCTTCCATTAACCTTTTTCTCCCTGCCTTTCCATCTTACCTTCTTTCCTTCTTTTGCCTCCCTATCTTCTCTTCTCTTCCATTAACCTCCCCTTCTTTCTCCCTCTGTCTTTTTGCCTTCCATCTTCTCTCCTTCTTTCTCCCTATCTTCTCTTGTCTTCTTAACCTCCTTCTTTCTCCTCTGTCTTTTGCCTTCCATCTTACTCCCCTTCTTTCTCCCCTCTTCTCTTGTCTTCCATTTACTCCCCTTCTTTCTCCCTATCTTTTTTTGCCTTTCCATCTTACTCTCCTTCTTTCTCCTTCTGTCTTTTGCCCCTTCCATCTTAACCTCCCTTCTTTCTCCCTATGTCTTTGTCTTCCATCTTACTCTCCTTCTTTCTCCCTCTGTCTTTTTCCATCTTCACCTTCTTCTCCCTATCTTTCTTCCCTTAACCTCAGCTTTCTCCTTGTCTTTTGCTTTTCCCATTTAACCTTCTGTCTCCTATCTTCTCTTGTTTTCTTATCCCCTTCTTTCTCCCTCTGTCTTTTGCCTTCCATCTTTCTTTCTCCCTTCTCTTTTGCCTTCATCTTCTCTTGTTTTCCCTGTCTTTTCTTTCCCTTCTTCCTTCCCTCCCTGTGTCTTTTCCTTCATCTTCCTCTTCTCTCCCTCCTTTTGTCTTTCTCCCCTTTCTCCCTCTGTCTTTTGTCTTCCATTAACTCTTCTTTCTCCTCTGTCTTTTTTGCCTTCCATCTTACTACCCTTCTTCTCCCTATCTTCTCTTGTCTTCCATTAACCTCCCCTTCTTTCTCCCTCTGTCTTTTGCTTTCCATGCCCCCTTCTTTCTCCCTTCTTTTCTCCCTTCCTTCCCCTCCTTCTTTTGCCCATCTTCTTTTTTGTATTCCCTTCTCTCCTCATCTTTTTTGTCTTCCATCTAACCTCCTTCTTTCCCTTTCTTTTTGCCTTCCCACCTTCTTTCTCCCTTTGCTTTTTTCATCTTACTCCCCTTCTTTCTCCCTCTGTCTTTTTTGCCTTCCATCTTACCCTTCTTTCTCCCCTATCTTCTCTTGTCTTTCCATTAACCTCCCTTCTCTTTCTCCCTCTGTCTTTTTGCTTTCCATCTTACCCTCCCTTTTTCTCCCTATCTTCTTTGTCTTCCATCCTTCCCTATCTTCTCTTGTCTTCCATTAACCTCCCTTCTTTCTCCCTCAGTCTTTTGCCCTTCTCATCCTTCATTCTCTCCCTTGTCTTCCATTCTCCCTTCTTTCTCCTCTTTTTGCTTTTCATCTTACCTCTCCTTCTTTCTCCTTCTGTCTTTTTGCCTTCCATCTTACTACCCTTCTTTCTCCCTATCTTCTCTTGTCTTCCATTAACCTCCCCTTCTTTCTCCTCTGTCTTTTGCCTTCCATCTTACTCCCTTCTTTCTTTCCTATCTTCTCTTGTCTTCCATTAACCCCTTCTTTCTCCCTATGTCTTTTGCCTTCCATCTTCCTCACCTTCTTTCTCCCTCTTCTCTTGTCTTCCATTAACCTCCCCTTCTTTCTCCCTATCTTTTGTCTTTCTTACTCTCCTTCTTTTATTCTGTCTTTTCCCTTCTTCTCTACCCCCTTTCTCCCTTTCTCTTCCATCTTACTCTCCTTCTTTCTCCCTCTGTCTTTTTGCCTTCCATCTTACTCCCCTTCTTTCTCCCTATCTTCTCTTGTCTTCCATTAACCTCTTCTTCTTTCTCCCTCTGTCTTTTTGCCTTCCATCTTACTCACCTTCTTTCTCCCTATCTTCTCTTGTCTTCCATTCGCCTCCTTCTTTCTCCTATGTCTTTTTGCCTTCCATCTTACTCCCCTTCTTTCTCCCTATCTTCTCTTGTCTTCCATTAACCCCCCTTCTTTCTCCCCTGTCTTTGCTTTTCCATCTTACTCTCCTTCTTTCTCCCTCTGTCTTTTGCTTTCCATCTTACTCCCTTCTTTCTCCTTCTCTTGTCTTCCCATTACTCTCCCTTCTTTCTCCCTCTGTCTTTTGCTTTCCATTTCTCCTTCTTTCTCCCTATCTTCTCTTTTCTCCCCTCCCTTCTTTTGCCCTCTGTCTATTCACTTCCTTCTTTCTCCCTTCTTTCTTCTCCCTCCTTCTCTCTTTCTCTTGTCTTCCATTAACCTCCCTTCTTTCTCCTTCTTTTGTCTTCCATCTTACTCTCCTTCTTTCTCCTCTGTCTTTTGCCATCTTACTCCCCTTCTTTCTCCCCTATCTTCTCTTGTCTTCCATTAACCTCCCCTTCTTTCTCCTCTGTCTTTTCGCCTTCCATCTTACTCCCTTCTTTCTCCTTCTTTTCTTGTCTTCCATTAACTCCTTTTTCTCCCTTGTTTTTGCTTGTCTTCCACTCCCTTCTTTCTCCCTATCTTCTCTTGTCTTCCATTAACCTCCCCTTCTTTCTCCCTCTGTCTTTTTGCCTTTCCATCTTACTCCCCTTCTTTCTCCCTATCTTCTCTTGTCTTCCATTAACCTCCCCTTCTTTCTCCCTATGTCTTTTTGCTTTCCATCTTACTCACCTTCTTTCTCCCTATCTTCTCTTGTCTTCCATTAACCTCCCCTTCTTTCTCCCTATGTCTTTTTGCTTTCCATCTTACTCTCCTTCTTTCTCTCTATCTTCTCTTGTCTTCCATTAACCTCCCTTCTTTCTCCCTCTGTCTTTTGCTTTCCATCTTACTCCCCTTCTTTCTCCCTCTGTCTTTTGTCTTCCATCTTACACCTTCTTTCTCCCTTATCTTTTTGTTTTCCATCTTACCTCCTTCTTTCTCCCTATCTCTCTTCTCTTCCATTAACCTCCCTTCTTTCTCCCTATTTTTTTTTGTCTTTCCATCTTATTCTCCTTCTTTCCCCCTGTCTTTTTGCTTCTTACCATTCTTTCTCCCCTCTTCTCTTGTTTCTCCTTCTCTCCCTATTTTTTCCTTTCCATCTTACTCCCCTTCTTCCTCTATCTTCTCTTGTCTTCCATTCCATTAACCTCCCTTCTTTCTCCCTCTGTCTTTTTGCTTTCCATCTTACTCTCTTCTTTCTCCTCTGTCTTTTGCCTTCCATCCTCCCCTTCTTTCTCCCCTATCTTCTCTTGTCTTCCATTAACCCCCCCTTCTTTCTCCCTATGTCTTTTTGCCTTCCATCTTACTCCTTCTTTCTCCCTCTGTCTTTTGTCTTCCATCTTCTCTTTCTTTCTCCCCTGTCTTTTTTCATTAACTTACTCCCTTCTTTCTCCCTCTGTCTTTTGCTTTCATCTTACTCCTTCTTTCTCCCTCTTCTCTTGTCTTCTTTGCCTCCCCTTCTTTCTCCTATCTTCTTTGCTTTCCATCTTTTCTCTCCTTCTTTCTCCTTCTGTCTTTTTGCCTTCCATCTTACTCCCTTCTTTCCCCCTCTTCTTTTCTTCCATTAACCTCCCCTTCTTTCTCCCTCCTTTTTGCCTTCCATCTTACCCTTCTTTCTCCCTATATTCTCTTGTCTTCATTAACCTCCCCTTCTTTCTCCTCCTGTCTTTTTTGCCTTCCATCTTACTCACCTTCTTTCTCCTCTATCTTCTCTTGTTTTTTCTCATTAAACTCCCCTTCTTTCTCCCTCTGTCTTTTCGCCTTCCATCTTACTCCCTTTCTCCCTATCTTCTCTTGTCTTCGTGCTGCTTCCCTTCTTTCTCCCTATGTCTTTTGCTTTCCATCTTACTCTCCCTTCTTTCTCCCTCAGTCTTTTTGCCTTCATCTTCCCCCTTCATTTCTCCCTATCTTCTCTTGTCTTCCATTAACCTCCCCTTCTTTCTCCCTCTGTTTTTTGCTTTCCATCTTACTCTTTCTCCTTCTGTCTTTCTCTTCTGTCTTTTTATATTCTCCAGTCTTCCATCTTACCTCCCCTTCTTCTCCCTCTGTCTTTGTCTTCCATCTAACCTCCCTTCTTTCTCCCTATCTTCTTTTGTCTTCCATCTTTAACCCCTTCTTTCTCCCCCTTTCCTTCTCTTGTCTTCACCTTCTTCTTTCTCCCTCTTCTTTTGCTGTCTTACTCCCTTCATTCTCTCCCTTCTCTTTTCATCTTCCATTAACCTCCCCTTCTCTCCTCTGTCTTTTGCCATCTTACTACCCTTCTTTTCTATCTTCTCTTGTCTTTATTAACCTCCTTCTTTCTCCTCTGTCTTTTGCCTTCATCTAACTCCCCTTCTTTCTCCCTAGCTTCTCTTGTCTTCCTTTAACCTCCCTTTCTTACCCCCTTATGTCTTTTTGCCTTCCATCTTACCTCCCTTCTTTCTCCCTATCTCTTTGAATTCCATTTACCTCTCCTTCTTTTCTCCCTATGTCTTTTCGCCTTCCATCTGCCCCTTCTTTCTCCCTATCTTCTCTTGTCTTCTCTTTTCTTAACTTTTTGCCCTTCTTTCTCCCCTATTTCTTTTCTCTTTCCATCTTTCTCACCTTCTTTCTTTCCATCTTACTCTTTTGCCTTCTTTCTCCCTTCTTCTCCCTGTCTTCTCTTACCCCTCCCCTTCTTTCTCCCTCTGTCTTTTGCCTTCCATCTTACTCCCTTCTTTCTCCCTATCT